GTAGAATGTCTTCATTCGGATCCCAATGAGAGGTCCGCCCTTCCTTGAACTCCAGCATGAGCTCGCCTCGGGCCTTAATGATGGCGTCATCAGCAATGGAGATGCACTGCTCCCTGAGGGACTCGACCTCCGCTGTCCTCTCGGCCAACTAGCGCCGTAACCTCTCGGCCTCACTATCCCTGAGGCGCTGCTGACTCTCCTGCTCAGCCTTCCGGGACACTGCCTCCCTCTGGCGTAAACCAGTGTTGGCCGTGGATACATCTTGTATCCGCTTCTCCTGCGCCACGACAGACTTCCTCAGATGAAGACTGCTAGTGAGTACCTGCACAACAAAACTCAGCAATAAGAACAAAGTTAAAAACAGGAAAATGAACAAGTACTGCCATACCTGAACGGCGCGGGATACACCCCAATCGGCGGCAGCAACTGTACCCATCTGGTTTAGGCGTGTCTCGTCCGCCGGGAACAAGAAAGAGTTGGCCAGCTTACTCATAGATGTCGCATCGAAATAAGTCGATGTAGTAGTCGGAATCATGATAGTAATAGTCCCGGCCTCCTCATCCATAACGGCAGCCTGGGACGACCCGGCTCCTGCTGAAGGCTGCTGGCTCGGCGGCTACTGACTGGGCGGCGTCGCCAATACGTCCTTAACCCTCATGTTCGTCCTAGCCAACGACTCCCTCCTCCTCTTCTCGTGGCGTCGGGCGATAGATTCGTTGCGCTCGGAACAGTTAACTTCTTCATCAGCGACTCTGCAAGTGCAAACTCTCCAACGGTTAGTGGGTTCAGCTCGGACTCACCAAAAATGATATGGTTGCAGTATCGACTCAGGAGCACATCCCAAGTCTGCTTCAGCGAGGAGAAGGGAGTACCTCTCTATATCGCTTCTACCCCGGCCCAAAGAATGCTGGTCCTCAGGTTGGACTCTGCTAGCACTACTCGCCAATCCCTCTGCTCTAATGGGATGGCTAACACCCTCTGGGTCGCTACGTCCAAGCCGTCCCCGCTCTGACCAGCCCGATTGAACTCAAGCTCTGCAAACAAAAAACACAATCAAGATTTAGTAATCAAAGTACGAAAGAAACAACTAAGCTCTCACCAGTAGCTCGCCAGCCGATCGGGATCTCGCCCTGTCCTCTCGCTCCAAATACAGCTTGACCCCTCAGGTAGAAATATCGGTCTTTCCAGTTCTTATCATTGGACCGTAGGTCGGTCACCAAGTAAGACCGATCATGCCTCAAGTTCAACAAGTAACGACCCTTCTCTTTATCGTTCTCATTCAAGAAGTAGGAATACAGCAGCTCGTGCAACCCAAACCTCACTTGGTTCCGAACGCAAAGGTCCTCCAAAGCCATTAGCAGTCTCCAAGCATTCGGCATAAGCTGAGACGGGGCAATCATGAAGTGGTTCAGCACCTCCCAGACGAGGCGAGGCACAGGCAACCTCAACCCGTCATGAAACCACTTCTCGTAAACACTGATCCAGCCCTTTGCCTCCCAATCAACTCGCTCGTACGACCGCGGCATCCGGATATCAACAGAGCTCGGAAAGTGATACAAGGTCCGGATGCGCCACACATCACTATCTTTCAGCACGGGCGGATAATCTCTAGTCAAAATCCTGCTGCCCTATTGGCTCGGCTCTTCCTTAGAGCCACTTCTGGAAGAAGATGGACTATCAACCCTTTCGGAGTCTTCCCCACTCCTCCCATGCCTGCTCGAGCCACTCGGCCCAGCCTCACTCGACCTTGGAGAGGCTATACTAGCTCCACTCGGCACGCCCACAGGAACGCCCCCCTCGGGCATCATCACTATAGTCGGGGCACGCTCATACTCATCCCCCGAGTCTGTCGCAATCCCGCTCGAACTAGCCGATTCAGAATCTGACATGTTGGCTCGATCACCCAACCCAACCCAACAGACCGATCGAAAGCCTCGCCCCTGGCTGCCAAAAACGTTAAGTATCAACCACCCGACCCGAGACACCGACCTACCAAGATCAGAAAGAGTTGCCACTCGCCCCTCAGTACCAGCCTACCTACCCGGAGAAGTTCAACCTAAACCTTGGTCGACCCTCCCGGTCGACCGACCCAGCTCTTGATTCTCACCTTCTTTGGCTCGCCCCGGGTGACCGACCCAGCGGATCCCTTATTAAAGTATCCCCTCGCTCGCCCCTGGCGACCGACTGGTCCTCAAGGTCAGCTTAAACACTACTAATCCTTTCTCGCCGGTCTAGCAACACAATCACCCGCTCGATCCGGACGACCGACCGACTCTTTAATCCACTCCGCACACCCCTCCAGTCGGTAGGACGTACCGAACGAGCTTACGAGCCCCCAAAGTCTCGTAGTACGTCCTTCGGCCCTTCACACCGATCGGGCACAACACTCCAATGATGGCTTACTCCGGATCGGCAGTGGATACCGAACGACCCCGGGACAAAAGTCACCCGCAGGATCAGCTACACCAACAACCGGTCATCCCGGAAGGATGACGGAGCGCCCATCGATCACTTCCTACTCTCTAACTTAAGACACTCTTAACTCAGAGAGTGGGGGGCAAACTGTTAGGGCCAAAAATCGTCCTTGGCCCAAATAAGAAAACGGGCGCGACAATGAAGAAGAAGCCAGGCCCAATCCTGATATGACCCTACCGGATTAGGCCCATTCGGTACAATGTATAGCCGGCCCAAACCACGTGGGCACGAGCCTCCTAATCCCAGTCCATTTCCTAGGTCCATGGGTGAATCCAGAGCCCACGGCCCCCTCAGAATACTTTCCTACTCCTGATCACTTTCTTACTGGAAGTTACTCTCCTAATCAGAATCACCTTCCTATTCGGACACTGGTAAGACAACTTACCACGGCCCTAATTTTTCTAGGGTTTGCATTAGAGTCATACTAGGACTCCTACTTCTATCAGGATTGGGAGACCAGACAGTCACTATATAAGCAGAGGCCAGCCCTCTCAGAAGGGAGGACATTCTACCTTCACACCGAAAGCTCTGACTTGAGAGTTTCACATCACCGCCATAGTCACAGTCCCCGACTAGACTTCTGGTAACCTTTTACTCCCTAGCCCTCACTATATTAGCCTTTCAGTCTTGCTGACTTAAGCGTCAGAGTGTCTACGGCAAACACCACCCCGGTGTTTCCCGTTCGCTTCACGCGTGTGTTTCTACGTGCGCAGGTACAGCATATCGCTAGTGGCCTCAACCTCGCGGGATCAGACCCCCCTTTCCATACAGGTAGATTTTTACGTCTACAATGACGATCCAGGAGGGAGTACTTCACAAGGAAGGCCAGGTCTCAGTAATACCTTCAAAAAGTTTTTTTGCATTTGCAGCAAAACAAAGGAACAGATCGATCTCTATGGCATAGGACAAGAGATTGAAGCAATAAAAGAGAGACTCACTCAAGCCTCCCGTAGAAGTAAAGATTATAACCTCCAACATTTTAGCAATAAGACAGACGGAGAGAGCTCCGATCTTGGCAAATTGAAGGAACTAAGAAGAACCATCTCCCTCCAGCTTAAAGAAATAAATGTTGTTGGCTACGAGGATGATGCTGCCACATTGTTGGCTCAATTGCTTGATGAGAATAAGCCACAGCGTTCTTTAATCTCAATCTATGGCACCGGTGGCTTGGGTAAAACAACTCTTGCTGGAAAACTTTATCATCATGAAAAGATTCAGCGTAAATTAAATCACCGTGCCTGGGTTTCTGTCTCTCAAGATTATGATACTAAAGATCTTCTTAAAAGAATCTTGTATTCTTTCAATAAGATCGAGATATCACAGAGGTGGAGAACATGAGTATAACAGGACTGGAGAGACATCTGCAACGATATTTGGAAGGACACTCATATTTGGTGGTGATTGATGATATATGGCAAAAAGAAGCTTGGAAGAGTCTCAAAAAGGCCTTTCCAGATGACAAAAACGGCAGTAGGGTAATTATCACCACTCGCAACCAAGAGATTGCTGAGCGCGTAGATGAGAATACTTTTCCTCATGCACTTCGGTTTCTAAGACCAGAAGAAAGTTGGCAGTTATTCTGCAACAAAGCTTTTAGGAACTATGATTCAGATGAAATTTTGGAGAAACTTGGAAAGAAAATGGTGGAAAAATGCCGTGGCCTACCACTTACCATTGATATATTGGCTGGGTTATTATCTACAAAGCAGCCAAATGAGTGGCCTTCAGTAAGTGACCACATTTGGAAACATTTAACAAATGATTCCATTGAAATCTCGAACTTACTGGCTTTAAGTTTTTATAATTTACCTTCTGAATTGAAGGTGTGCTTCCTGTACCTCGGCCAATTTCCAGAAGATTATGAAATCGAAGTGAAGAAAATAATTCAACTGTGGGTGGCTGAAGGTTTCATCTCACAAAAGGAAGAAACAATGGAAGATCAGGCTGAGGAAAACTTGAATAAGTTGATTTACAGAAGTCTGATTCAAATAGGTCGAACAAGTCGAGGGAGGATTAAAACATGTCAAGTCCATGATCTTTTACGGGATCTAGCAATTCGGAAGGCAGAAGAGCTCAAGTTTGTATGCATTAACGATGAAGCCAAATTTTCAACACAATCCTCAAAATCATTTCGGCGACAAGCTTTTAATCTTGGGATAAAGACGGACATTGTGCTTCAAAATTGTAATCCACTCTGTCGTTCTCTTTTGTTGTTCAATCATCTCTCTTTACGGGTTCCCACTCTTTTCGAAGCCTTAGTTTTAAATGTTTGCAGAATGTTGAGAGTAGTAAAAGTGCTCGATATTGAGAATTGCATAAATCAAGAATCAGAGAGTTTACCTGAAGAGATAGGAAAGTTGATTCACTTGAAGTATTTGGGATTAAGAAATTCATCTCTTATTTTTCTTCCACCTTCCATCGGCAAGTTGTCAAGCCTACAAACTCTGGACTTACGACCAGGTTTTTCTTTTACGCATCTTCCACTACCTACTGACATAGGTAAGCTGACAGAGTTGAGGCATCTTATGGGACATTTTACTGAGAATTTGCCGATTGACAATATGACAAAACTTCAGACTTTGAAGTACGTAAAAGTTTCCGCTTGGAATCAAGTTAAGAAAAAAAGGCTGGTTAATCTTCGAGAGCTAAAGATATTTGGGGACCTTCATGCAAGAAATGACAAGTTCACTTTCGATTCCATTGCCAACCTGAAATGTCTAAGGATTTTATCGGTTGCATTACAAGATCCGAGTATAGGGCATTTTGGTTCTCTGGAGCCCGTTTCTCATTGTGAACATCTTCAAGACTTGCACTTGGAAGGGACGATACATAACGTACCAGAAAACCTGCATGAACTAGTGCCAAATCTCGAATGTCTATCATTAGAGAGATCAAATCTCAAAGATGACCCAATGCCTAAATTAGAGAAGTTGTTGAAGCTCTCGCGTCTCCACTTGGGCTGGGGTTCTTATGTTGGAAGGAAGATGATATGCTCGGCAAAGAGTTTTCTTCGGCTGAAAATTCTAAATTTATGTCTGAAGTTTGATGAGTGGGAAGTAAAGGAAGGAGCTCTGCCTGTGCTTGGGGATTTGAAAATCTTCGAGGGCACTGAATTGATAATTCCAGAAAGATTGCGCTCCATCAACATTTTAATATTACCAATACCAGCAACTGATGTAGATTATATAGCACGTCGTGACTATTATCAACTTTGACTTTCGTTTGTTGTGCTTTTCCTCGAATTGTAAGTTGGTAAGTGGAGATTTTTTTGGTTTTAAATTTATGAACATTTAATTACCTATATTCAGTATTTTTTATTTCGTTTTCTTTACGCATCAAATTGGGTAATTTTTAAGCCTTTATTAACAAATTTATTGTTAAATTTTATATGTCATTACTGCTGTTAAAGTAATTATTGCACAGTTGTAACATTCATACAATTACTTAAGTAAATTTGTATTATATCTGAGTTTTTTCTCTCTAGTCTATTTTTAACTTGATTATAATTAATACTAACCACATAGCAATACTACCTTTTATGAAATAGTCTCAAATTAATATTGTGTTATGAAGATATTTAAGAAGTATAGTAACCCTAACAACAACATTGCTACATGATTGATACCCACTCTGTATATTCGAATCATTTATGGGCCCATTCTATCAAGTGTAAAATTGGATCATTTAGGCCCATTATGCCCCCTAAAGAGCATAAATATTTTCTTCTTTCATTTTCTCACAAAGGGGTATAGAATAGATCATCAAATACTATCTCCATCATGCCTTCACTTATCAAATCAATATCATAGAGCTGTCACATAGAGACATTTTTCATCTTTCAAGATCGTTCGGAAATTATATCAAATGATTTCCCCAATCAAACTATCACTTTTATTGATCTCAATTCTGAAATGCATGAACAAAGAAGGCCATGCATGTTAAATGTTATTTAAGGCAAAAGGAGTCGTGGCAGGGACCAATTAGTTGGTCCAGCTCCATGATTGGGGACACGTTGAACATTTTTAGCCTTTTAACGTGATCAGACGACTGATCTCAATCCCATCTCCCTAACTGTAAGGTAGCATCATTAGCATCATTGTTGTCTCCTACGCGTGGCGCACATTCAATGGGACATTCAATCTTCCTTCATGTATCTTTGGCGCCAAATAACATGGCAATATCTTGTCACGTGCCTTTCAAGCTTTCTACATCTTTTCCACCTTACACGTGTCCCCCTCACATGATTTATATGCTATTTAATTTCATTTTAGGATTATTTGCCTCCCTTAAATTCATATAATAATAAAGATATTTTTCCCATTTTTTATTATTTAATATTTTATCCTTCAACTATAAATTGAAATATTCCATACTAAAGCAATTTTATTAATCTTAATTCCCAATAGGGCACGGATTTGTTTAAAATAAGATTTAACCATAAACCTACACGAATTTAACCTAATTACCTTTGATAAAAAATTGAAACACAAAAATAATTGACATGCAGTAAAATATCAAGTCTAACACCATTTAGCATAGTTTAACATTTTTTAATCAAATTGTCAAATCACATTATTAAACCCTAGACTCATAAAGATTATCAAATCTAGTATAGTCTAGCATTATATTATATATTAGTAATATAACATTTATTATTTCATTTAGGATATAATTGGCAAATCATTTGATTTTATGACTAGATTTATGCTTTTAATCAAACTTACACATTTTGGGAAACTGTTATTAATAATTGAATGTTGTAACAATTAATATAGAGTTGTAAAGAAAACACCAATTTCTTCAATGCACTCAGTTAGCAAATTTGTATCATATCTGATTATAATTAATAATTATTAAATGCAATTAGTACTTCTTACAGTACCACCTTTTACGAAATAAATAGTCTAAAATCTTGAATGCCTATCATTAGAGAATTGAGATCTGAGAGTTGACCGGATGCCTACATTAGAGCAGTTGTTGAACCTCGCATATCTCCACTTGGGATTCACTTCGTGTCATGGAAAGAAGATGACATTAAATGATTGGCAAGCGGAGGAAAGGAGCTCTGCCTCTCCCATGACCAGAATTTTGATTATCTTTAGGTTTTGAGCCACATTTTTCATCCTCATTTTCCTGGAATTTTTTTGTGTTGTTTATGTTTGTGAAGTGGGTTAATAAATCAGCCAACAGCTTCGGTGTTTGAGAATGAGAATAAACTCCAAATTTACAAATCCAGAAATATTATAAAATTATAAGATGAAGTGGAACTCTACACTAAGTCGAACTCTAAAGAACTAACTATATCGAACTTTGACTTACCTCTAATTTGTAATTTGAGAAGTGGAGTTTTCTTTATAAACACTTAATTCGCGTTCCTAACTATGGATGTGTGATTTTGACACTAATAATCTTGTATGTGTAAAGTGTTAAACAAGTCTTTGAAATTACACATGATATGATTATGGAGTTGAGATGATACATGTTTGTAGAAACATAAATAAAAGACTGATAAGTGGGATTTTTATAGTGGTTTGAATGCTTAAAGAAAATCCTACATCTACTTTTATTTTATTATTCTCTGACTATTTTTATAATATTGTCTGTAGAGTGTACAAAAATTAAAAAATGCTTTGTTTACAAATAACAAATAATAAAGTTGAAATCGTATACTTAGCTCTCATATGCCTAACTAACCTCTTTTTCATGAAGAGATGTGCTCATTTAAACACCTTTGAACTCAACGTAATGAGTACTTTTGTAAGTTGCTTTGACATATAGAGAGCTCTCATTCATCTTGATCCTTTATTTTGATAAAGGTGGACAATTATTATACAATATCTTTTGAGAAGGTTTGAGTTTTGACAGCTAATACATTTTGTCTTTTAGGTTATGCTGATATCAGTGTGATTTTTTAAGCATAATACTAACTAACTATCAATTATTATATTTAAATTTATGTTGTTATTGATCAAAACAGTTAAACAACGATTTAATACTAAAATATATTTACTATAAACCAAATTAATATTGTGTTATATTAATTATCAAGATATTTAAGAACTATAGTAACCCTGACAACAACATTGCTACATGATTGATGCCCACCCTGTATATTCGAATCATTTATAGGCCCATTCTATCAAATGTAAAATTGGATCATTTAGGCCCATTATGCCCACTAAAGAGCATAAATATTTTCTTCTTTCTTTTTCTCACAAAGAAGTATAGAATAGATCATCAAATACTATCTCCATCATGCTTTTACTTATCAAATCAATATCATAGAGGTGTCACATAGAGACATTTTTCATCTTTCAAGATCGTTCGGAAATTATATCAAATGATTACGAGAATTACAAGAACAAATAAATCAAACACAAGTCCCTAAAAAGACAATTCCAGTAACTAAAACAATGCTTTTATGATATATCATGAAAGTGAAATATATAAAATAAAATATAAAAAAATCAAATTAGATATACGTAAAACATCTTTATAGTCATAATAGTAGGGTTAACTAATTTTATTACTCTAAAGAAGTTATAACTTAATAGAGGTGTAGTTACAAAAATTTCTTATTTCATAATTCATGTTTTAGTAGTACAATATTAGGATTTTAATTTATGTTTTAATAGTATTATGGTTTCAATTCAGCGCTTCAATTGCCTATTTTTAAAACGGATAGAAGATCATGTCTTGTAACCAATAAAGATCACTATCTTTGATGGAATTATAAATGCAGTTGCTGTATGGTCAATTGATGTAAAGCCATAGACAATTGTCAATTGTTTTAAGCATTATAAAATTAAGACCCCGATGTTGATGAATTACAAGTTACAATTGAAGTGGATGAGGAAAATCAAATAGTCATTGTAGAATTGAGTGATCAGATTTGACAACTTCACTTCATTAATCAAATAGATATTAATGTCTTCCTTAATCATCCAAACAAACAACAAGTCATGTATGTTTTAACAGAAGAATAAATCATTGCTACAATTAGACAAGAAAAGAAAGAAAATAATTATGAGGATGATAGTATGGAAATACAAAAAATTTCATACCAAGAACTCTAAACATGCTTGAGAAGCTATAAATATTTTGGTTTCAACAAGAAAATGTTTATGCTAGCGAGTAATGTACTCGCAAGTTAAAAGATTGGGTAACAACTCTAAAACATAACTTATTGTCCCAAACAACTTTAGATAAATACTATATTTCATCTTAAACTTTTAATGTAATATGTCATATTTTTTTTACAATATACATATAATTATTACTATGTGGAGGCAACTTTTTTTAAGATGAGAATTAGAAAAATTATAACTTATTATAATATAGAGTTTACTCTTATTTATAACTATTCTAAATTAGGAATATGAAATTTTATGATTATATAGAGTTTATTTTTATTTAGAATATCACTATAAAAAATTTTTACTATACATCATATTAAAACTCAATAGGTTGAGAGAGAAAAGATTTTCTTCTTACAGCTATAAATACAATCATAAAGCATCACATTTGTTATTCTTTTTATACAAAACAAATTGTCTCGTTAATTAAGAGGGTAACGTCACCTTCCATCTCACTGATTCTCTTACCTTCCAAGTACGTGGCACAGCACTCACACGTGGTACATTTCACCTTGCACCTAAAAAGATTGGGTCTGATCCCCAATCAAACTCACTTTTATTGATCTCAAATTCTCAATTCTGAAATGTGTGAACAAAGAAGGCCATGCACGTTAAATGTTATTAAAGGCAAAAGGACTCGTGGCAGGGACCAAATAGTTGGTCCAGCTCCATGATTGGGGACACCTTGCACATTTTTAGCCATTTAACGTGATCAGACGGCTGATCTCAATCCCATCTCCCTAACTGTAAGGTAGCATCATTAGGATCATTGTTGTCTCCTACGCGTGGCGCACATTCAATCTTCCTTCATATATCTTTGGCGCCAAATATCGTTAACGTTAACGCAATATGGCAATATCTTGTCACGTGCCTTTCAAGCTTTCTACCTCTTTTCCACCTTACACCTGTCCCCCTCACATGATTTATATGCCATTTAATTTCATTTTAGGATTATTTATTTCGTTTGCCTCCCTTAAATTCATATAATAATAAAGATATTTTTCCCAATTTTTTTATTTAATATTTTATCCTTAACTATAAATTGAAATATTCAACACGTAAGCAACTTTATTAATCTT